GCCTTCTTTCGCCTCCTTCTTCCTTCTCCCACGCAGGCATTCGGCGCTGAGGAAGAAAAAAAACCCGACCGGCGTTTCTGAAAGCACACCCGTGTGTTCGGCACACATACACACAAAGCCGGCCCGATGTCGGAACAAGCCGACCAAACAGCCCGTCAGAGGGGGTGAGGGGGGCTACGGTCTGGCTATGGTAAGGGGGCTACGCACCGCAGTGGTTAGTGCGCGCCGTGTATCAGGGTCAACGACTGCTGTTTTCTCACCGGCCCGCTCCGAGAAAAGGGAGAGTGAGTGAGCCGAGGACGTGCGCGATATCAACACGGCTCGGCGCATTTTCATTCGTCTGCCTCTGCCACTCGGCCCGCGCTACTAGCGGCTCCACTCAGACTACAACTAGACCTACTCGGATCCCCTTACTCCCGAATTCCAGCATGCACGATTTCGCATTGGGGATTTTCCCCGTAGACGGTGCGTAGGCGAAGGCACTTGGTGTTATACACCGACCGTGGATTGATTTGCTCGCTCGCTCGCTCTCACTCACTCACTCACTCACTCACTCACTCACTCACTCACTCACTCACTCACTCACGCACGCACGCACGCACGCACGCACGCACGCACACACGACAACGCCTCCTCACGCACACACGCACGCATGCACGCACACACGCACGCACGCACGCACGCACGCACGCACGCCCGCACGCACGCACGCACGCACGCACACACGACAACGCCTCCTGCCTCCTCACGCACACACGCACTCACACGCGCACGCACGCACGCACGCACGCACACACGACAACGCCTCCTGCCTCCTCACGCACACACGAACGCACACACGCACGCACGCACACACGACAACGCCTACTGCCTCCTCACGCAGACACACGCACGCACGCACGCACGCACGCGCGCGCGCACGCACGACAACGCCTCCTGCCTCCTCACGCAGACACACGCACGCACGCACGCGCGCGCGCGCGCACATTCGCAGACCCTCGGCGCACGGTCACATGGCGCATCCTGTTTGTACAGCAAGCAGATACTTTACCAGCAAAGCCGCGTGTACTGTAACACCCCCACCCGTGCAAACAATGTCCGCCCCCATCCTTCCTCGCTCCTCCTCCTCCTCCTCCGTCACATTCTCCCCCTCTACGTCGAGTAAAGCACGCAGTCCCCCGCCGCAGGTAAACTACAACGAGCGCTCACCTATCCTCTACACACAAACACACACACGCACGCCGGTATAACCATAGCTTATGGTATAACATTGTGCGCGCAAAACAACAACACCGACACCAGAAGCTATTGAATTTTCACACAAAAGCGTCTGATATCGCCTGAGCTGCGAGCGACAGGGTGGGAGGTATATGGAAACAAAGGAGCCTAGCTGTGGCTAATGATAGCCCGCTACTGTCAAGATCACTTAATTATTTCCCAGGTGCGTGCAGCTCTAGGCAATGCCTAACTTATTACTAACCCCCCTCATTTATCAACATTATATAGATATATATATATATAATATACTATAGTATATATATATATATATATATATGATATATATATATATATGTATATAAGTTATAACTGAGTGCGATTGCTGATGCAATAAACACACGACAAGTGCATTAGAGGCTGTCGCATACAACTGTGCAGCATTCGACTGCGTACAGCCGACAGCAGCAACAGCAGTTTTTTCGTCATCCTCTTCTCGCGGGATGCGTAAACCGATTCTATAAACAGCAACTTACGTCACTGCAGAGAATAATTATCGTAGGCTGTGATAGTGGATGTAGTGCTGCGTACGGCTTCTTATACTATGCGTGGAGGAAAAGGGAGGGGCAATGAGTAGGGAGGAAAGAAAGGATGCCGAAGTGGGAGAAGAGAGGGGGGATGAAGAAGGAGAAGGAAGAGAAAGAGGAGGAATAGAAAGAGGAGGAATGAGGATAGTGAGGCATGAGAGAGTAGAAGGACAGCGAGGTATGAGAAGATAGGAAGAGAACGAGGTATCAGCGGGCAGGGGTAGTGCGAGGCAGGAGGGCGAGGCAGGAGATGGTAGGAGGAGAGGGATGAACGAGAGAGAGAGAAAAGGCAAACGAAAGGCGGGTCGATGGTAGTTTGTGGCTACTCGATGCCTCGACTCCCAGCTTCTCCTGTCATCCTTACGGGACTTGTGTTCACATACATGTACAGTAGTAAGGCACATCTCATCCCTCCCTCACACTCGCACGCATCTCCCGCTGGCACCACCAGCTGCATCGCCACAGCACACACGAACACACCCACACACAATGCCACCAAAGCCTATCATGGAAGCCATCTATGTGGGTTATATATTCATTAGAACCACTATCGGGGTTACGGAGGCCTACCCGCTAGGCGCTACACATTCATTACTGAAATGTGAAACCACGGGGGTCCAATATTCATTCGGAAGTGAGTAATACAAGACCTTATGCTAGCAGGCTTATCGATGGTGCTAACGATGACAGAGCGCATTCACTTGCTCACAATCACACCTCACACAAACGACAGCGAAAGAGAGAGAGAGAGAGAGAGCGAGAGAGAGAGAGAGACCTAGCCAGACACTAGCTAGACACACCTGTTGGTTTTAACAATTACGCGGTTATTTACATAACGGTTGTTGCACAATATATGCACGCACGCATGCATCTAAATGTAATCCACAGAGTTTCCCTCTGGCAAACTGCCACGACTAAGGAAAGCTGCTAGTTCCAGTCGGATTCCACGCGGTGTGTAACAAATATACTATTATTTATAGCGAAGGTTTATTTTCACATTTCGACGGTTGCCATTTACAAGTTACAACTACGTCACGTGCATTAATTCGCGGATGTCAAAGCACTCGAGCATTACCTATCGCTAATACAGTGATCAGAGTCTATTTACCGATTCGCACTGGTCAAACATTGGGGCTGGTGGCCGTGTAACATCTCGCAATGTCATCCCGTTTGCTACACTACACTCGTCCTACAGACATAGCTGTCAGATCGCACGTCTTTACAAGAATCATTCGAACTACAAGAGGGTCGTGAAATACATGAACGTGTCTTGTAGCTAGTTATTACACGAGCTGAATTACAGTCGCCTTTGTACACTATATCAATGGACAAATAGACCCACCCCCCCAAGAACCACGACGAATCTTTTATTCAGTTATCTCATTTTATCGTATCTCGTCCGATACCATCTCCCATTTTCTTGTCCCGGGAGGAGGAAGGTACCACCCTAGAAAACGCGAACAGCTTTTACGAGTGTCCGCCACCGCCTGCATTATTTCAGTACCAAATGCTATCGCGGCCCCTTCTAGATGCAACTGCAGCCTCCGCTTCTCTTTTTCTCTATGATCGCTAACGACTGTTTATGATCGTTCGCGTTCAGAGTAATGCCGAGCTATATAAATAAATAAAACATCTGCGGGATTGGCATGCACACATGCACAGCAATTGCTTACGATCTGGTCACGGGTCTGCATGTATTTACACACGCACGCACGCACGCACGCACGCACGCACGCCGACCGCGTTGGACACTACACCGGCTTGCTACTGTTGCACAGCAAACTACGTACCTGTGCTGCACTGTGACACAAACACGTACATTGTGGGCGCATGCAATTACGTAAAAGCTCAGTCAATTAGCCGGCATTACTACGCACATGTGTGCTTACAAATGCTTTACACTTCCGTGCACATGGATGCGAGCAATGCGGCGCATTCTATTATTAAAAACCTGCCTACGCCGCCCGTGATACTTGCGTATGTGGACAGTAACCGTTCATAACGCACACAATCAATGTTCCACCAATGCGGACTGCCAGTACATATACATATATACATACATACACACGGATACAGCCTGCAAACACATGACTATGGTGCGCTCTCTCCTCTCTCACCTACGTAGTACAGTACCACGTTGATCAATATTCATCAGAGGCAAGCCGTGTGTAAGTGCAAAACGTCTTTCTATATCAATAAAACACGTACTTTGTGCCAATATCTCGTACGTGTGTGTAGGGGGAGGGGGAAATACACAAGATGTGTAATTATGATGCATTCAGTTATAATTATATGCTGTTCAATTGTGGAATTCATAATTATATATATATAGCAAATTTAAAGTGAAAGATTTCTAGTGCGAGTAACACCTCATCACGGTGCACTATGGACGTAGCACAGACAAACATGTCCATAGCTATCTCAGCGACAGACAGAGCAAAAGACGAGCGAGATGGACAGACATAGATAACGTAATTATAACGTCAAGCATTAGTGTGTTACTGTACAGATTCTCCTTTTGCACGAGCAACCTTGCCGATGAGAAAAGGATCGATATCAGATAGTGAATGTCAGCTCTTGTGAATCTTGAACACTCGATGAAATGCCAATGAGGCTATTCCTGGAAATTCCATTCAGCAACGGGATATTCCCAGCAGCAGAGCCAGCCATTAGCGGCGGTTCATGGCATGTGATTTTTGTAGGAACTATGCCAATACATACAGCATGAATTACATTGCAGTAGCTAGAAGATTTTCAAAGTAACATGTATGTAATGTGTATGATCTCACACAAAAGTGGCAACAACACAGTTATTTTTAAACGAGTCTTGTCACTGCGGATAGTAGTTTAAATTACTAGATGTAATATACATGTACGTGTAATGTGCAGTTGCAGTCCATTGATCTTTACCCTCGCTTACAATTACATTGCAAGGTTTGTGGGAAAACAGCCCAACTTTCATTCAAAGATCCAACCCAAATGAGAGCAGGCAGTCGGTGCAGTGGTACTATACCATTCAGTGCCACATCAGACCAGGTGCACGACGTACATACATGTAAACATTGTCATGCAAATTAATATAGGCCTATCCATTCACTTCAGCTTCGGGTGGCCGCGACAATGCATAGGCCTACAAAATTATACTTGCGTGGCCGTAAGGGCCAACGTCACTAGTACAACAGCAAGATGTATACGTACCACTGTGCTCGAAGATGTTAGTCGACACTTGCTGCTGAACTCGTCTTTCCCTGTCTTTCGACTTTGCACTCTTTCCCCCGGCAGCCGACTTCGTCTGTTTGGATTTCGAGGCTGCCTCCTTTCCCTGCTGAGCACCCATGTTTTGGCCGGGCCAAGCGTCTCACCGCCAACCAATGTTCACTTACACATAACCTGTATCGTTATATGTCGATCAACACCGTAACGTTGTAAAAATCACCAACAGTGAATGAATGATATCAACACATAGACCAAATCAAACCCTTCCTAACTTTAACAACAGCAGCCATCTTGCGCGTGAGAACGAGGCTTGCCAACAGTTATAATTTCTCTTCAAAAGGTGGCAGCATCAGCCGACAACAGAACCTATGACCAGAGCATATAAATCACCTATTATTATGCTATAATGCTATCACCTATGATGCTATATATACATATGCTATATACCTATTTATGCTATCACCATTAGGTGATTTATATGCTCTGCTATGACCGAACACACCCGCGCTTTGATCAAAGCATATAAATATAAAATGAATATAAAAATAAATATGATTTATATGCTCTGCTTTGATCGTGAAGGGCAGGCACTATTAGTATTATCAGGAGGTATTATTAATATAACCATGGCACAATGTGCCTGTATACATCTAATGCTAGGGGCACACGAGCGATTTTTATCGCCCGATCGCGGCGATTAAAATT